CGGGACGGAGCCGCCGCAGGGAGAGAAGATGGAGAGATCCCGCTGCCGGTGCTGGAGCCACACAGCGCCGGGCTCACAGAGCTGAGAACCCACCGTCCTGCCCAGGAGAGCACCCCCCGGCCCGTCACTGCTGCAGGGCTGCAGGGACAGAGCATGAGCTCAGCCCCACTCCGAGCACACCCTTGCCACAGTCTCTCAGCAGCGTCAGGAAGATGCACACGGGTCTTAAACCCTCCACTGCCACTTTTGTCCCCACTTGGCTGAGCCAGGCAAATGAACATGCCAGGAAAGGCGCTTCCCACCCACCAGCACAGGCAGAGGCAAGGGCAGGCAGGAAACTCACACAGAAATGAGCTAAAAAGGTTTGCTTTAAAAACAGGCAGAAGTGACAGGGCATCCGCCGAGAACATCACACCAGAAATGGCACCTGTGGGTGCTGCCGATAACACTGTGCTCACGCCGGCACCTGCTCCGCACCAGTCACTGCCACAGGAGTGGGAAGGGAGGTGTGAACACTGCGAGGCTGCATCACAGCCATGGTGCAAGGGATGGAAGGGACCTGCCTGGTGAGCAGAGGGGCACAGTGAGCCCCAGCCCTCATGCAGGAAGGGCAACTTGGGCACCGCTGCCAAGGAATGGAAAACCATTTCCTCCAGGAATCCCATCACACAAGCTCCCGGGACACTTGTGTTTGGGCATGGAGGCTCCTGGTAGGACTGAAAGCCCACATTGCACATTGGAGAGGGAACAGCTTGAAGCAGGAGCCCAGCCCAGGACTTTGCCTGTGCGTAGTAGAAAGTGGGGGGTGTCCCATTCTGGAGCCCCTTGGCCCCACGAGGTGGTATCACTGTCCATCCCACTGACGGCTTGGAGTGTCCTTCTTCATGCAGGCCAGGTAGCGGTCATAGTTCTCCTCGCACCTCCTCACGCAGTGCAGGAAATAGTCCTCATCAGCAATGGCCTCCAGCAGGTCTGTCTGCACCAGGCACACGTCGTACAGCTCTGAGGTGGGTGCACTCCTGGGGCTGCTGCTGCCCTGCTCCGAGAACACCTGTGGGGAGAGCAGGGCCTGGCAGAAGCACATGTGCCCTGTGGTGCCCCTGTCCTCCCCTGGCCAGGCACCTCCATGCTGGCCGTGGGTCAGGGTCAGAGGGCAGGGAGATCCCATCTCCACTCCAGCAGCACAAGGTGAACTTTCTCCAGATTTCCCCTCCCTCACAGAAAATGCCTTTGGTTCCAAAACAGCTTGTCACACATGCTGCTGGTGCTCCCCTAAAGGAACACACCACGCAGCTGGAAGAAAACAGCTCTGTGGAGCAGCCAACCCCAGGAAAACCTCTGCCAACAGCTCTCCTTTGGCTGCCACGGGAGGGAACAGGGACTTCATCTTCTGATCTTCACCACGGCTCTGCCTAAGGCCACCTGGTAATCTGTTTCACTTCCAGCGCTGCTTTGTCACCATCACTGACATGGGGACAGCATTGCAGAGCTGGTGATGGAAGAGGAGGGGAAGATGGCATCCCACCTACAGATCCTGGCTGCAGGACAACAAGGTCCCGGCAGTGAGGATGAGCCCTGCTGGGAAGACGCTCGGCTGCTGCCCAGACTCCCACGAGGCCTGCTGCCACCATAACTGGATCCTACCTGTGTGATCTGGCATGGGAGCAGCCCTGGGGCTGGGCTGCAGGGTTGCTCTTGAGACAAGCTGAGCAGCACAACCGACCAGCCATACCAGCTACTGATGGCAAAAGGAGGAACTCCTTGATCAGGGAAACAGCCTGAGGCTGAAATGCAGCAAGTGGAGCTGTGTGAGCCATTCTCTATCTGCTGCAGACATTCAGGTAGCAGCTGCTGCACACAGGAGCTGTTGCAATAACTCCCTTGAACCAGGCACAGCACAGACCAAACCCTATTCCTGACAGGTCTGTCCAGGCAGTGACAACTGCCACCAGCTACAAAACTACAACCTGGGAGAGCTTGTATGGAAGGGAATGTCCACAAAGCATGTCATCCCTCGTAACTCCCTGGCTGCCTGGCAAACACTGCTGACCATTCACCAGCTGCTGCAGGTTTTCCCCCCAGCACTGTCTCCTTACAGATGGAAATGGGCAGGAGTTGAGACCACTGCCATGCTGGTGCCCAGGGTGCAGTGACACCAGGGCTACACTTCAATCCCCCTTTGCAGCCTCATGCAAAGGACACAAAACATGCCTGACCTCACCAGGGTCACCCCCAGTGTGGCCTTCAGCCACTTACCTGTGGGTGGACAATGGTGTCCGCATCGTCCAGCCGGATATTGTCATCGATGAAGATGTGGTGAACATCAGGATCGTGGGGGTCTATCCACAGGGGCTTCCCACCGCGGGAACAGAAATTGTTTCTGGCCCACCTGAAACAGTTATCAGGAGAAGAAGCAGTCAGGGGAGTGAGAGGGTGACAGCTCCCAGGCAACGGCAGGCTGTACTGCAGGCTCAGGGCAGCCTCTGAGCCAGGGAAGTGGGATGGAGAATGTCCCATCCTGCTGCCTGCTGTGGCCTCCTGGGAAAGGCATTTTGCACCAAGCTGACAAATCAGGGGTTGTTTGGAGAAAAGCATGGAGTATACCAGGGGATGGAGACCTGAGGAAAGGTATGACAGCCCCATCAGGCTACACACAGGAAAAACAGGGAGTGCATAAGTGACAGGCCCCAAAACCAAAAAGACTTCAAAACTAGGAGCTATCTCAGAAGATCAGAGAATCACAGGAGACAATATAACGCCCAATCCACTTCCTCAGTGCCCTGTTTCTCACCAGTCAAAGTGGTCTTGGAAGCCTCCAATTCCCTCAAAGGAGTTGAAATAGTTGTAAAGTTTTCTTCCATCTTCCCGGGTGGCCAGCCGCTCCGCGCCCCGTGTCAGCACCACCTCCCGCTTGCTGCAGCGGATCTGGCCAGGGGTGAGATCCACAGGGAGCTGCAGGACCACAAAAAGCAAGGGAGGAAAGGTTTCCAAAGCAGACAGGTTGTTTCATGCACTGGTAGAGACACCAAGAAGCAGGGTGGAGACTCCCCACCACTGCAGTGTGGGAGGACAGTGCTGGGGAGAAGACAAGAGGAGGTGTGGAACCACCCCCAGCCAAAAGTCATCTCCTTCCCAGGGACGGAAAAGAATGACCTCCTAGCTGCACACTGCCCCCGTTTCATTCTCTGCTCCCCATAAATGCTCCAAGAAATAAGTGAAGCATCTCCTGAAGATCATTCCCAGTGCTCCTGCCCAGTGTGCTTCCAGGGGGAGGGCAGAGAGCACAGCTGCAATCAGCTCTGAGCCAGGGAGCCCTGCACTGCTACAGCAGCCACCTCCCAGGAGAAGGGATGCTCTGTCCAACCCGGGAGGAGACCATTCCCACACAGGATTTGCACAGACACGTGCTCCCCCACAGCTGACAGCCTCATCCCAAGAAACCGGTGCTTTTAAAGCAGTCTGGCCAAGTGGCTGGAGAGCAGCTTGGCACGGGGGGGCTCCGTGGGACCACCCGGCTGCCCCTCCCCATCCCACCCGACCCTCGGGGCACCACTCACCGCCACGTCCCGCAAGGTGGGGAACTGGGGGTGCTGCCCGTCCAGGGCACTGCTGACAGCCTGCAGGGCACGGGGCAGGTCGGTGCCGAAGGTCCTGAAAACCACGGCGAAGGCCCGGCCATTCCGGTGCAGCGTGTCCAGGAGCCGGAAGAAGGAGGGCAGGATCAGGTGGTAGCGCTCGCCGGGCTCTCCCGGCACGGACAAGGCGTCGTGCGGCCGGCCCGGCCACTCCAGCAGCTGCAGGTGGCGGGCGTGGAGGCTGCGGAAGCGGCGACCCGGCCCGGCCTCGGTGAAGGAGGGGTCCCGGCCGCA